ATGGGAAATAAAGGAAAAAAGGTATATTCAATGGATTTTATTTTCACTGAATCATTCCTTCAGTGAAAATTTATTCTAAGCAAAAATAAAGTATTTTACAGTATACAAGTCAAGCCTTAATTTGCTCTATTAGTATACCTGTATGTAAATCTATTTTATGGCTAATGGAACAAATATGGTTCTGACTATTGGTGGCTTTCAGCCTAATTTACAATGTCCAAGGCATGTTGTATTTCAATTTCTGTTTACAAATCATTTTATTATTAGAATCTTGGTATATGGATGGAACACTAGTTAATCAGCTGTTGATTTCCGTGCACAAATCAGAAATATAGAATGTTGTTTTTAACTTCTTCGTAACTTTATGGCTTTGTGTCCTTTCAATTTATAAGATTTTACTATAAAATAGTTTCATACATTTACTGTAGACCCAGTATTCATAGCTTTTTGATTACTTCCTATTCTTGGGAAAAAAGAAAACAACTTTAGTTTCTTCCTAATTAATTTTACAATGGGTTTCATAGAGATTTTCTTTACTTTGTTGTATGCATACTTTTAATATTTTGAGTTGTATGAAATTCAAGGTGTTTTTTTTGTAATGCTTTAATAGGTTGTTCACTGAATAAAACGGGTTTGGACTAAACTATAGTTATAACACGCTTGTCACAATTGCTATAAAAGTTGAGTCAAAATTGTTTGTGAAATGCTAGAGGGCGCTGTCTTCCACAAGTCCTTGTATTGAGTTGAGGCGTTTGACCGCCAAATGGATTCCCGCAGAGAATGTTGATATTGCAGCTGGGTCACAAATTCCATTGATATCTCTAATGTTAAATTCAAAGATTCTTGTCAAACACTGGCCAGTCTAACTGATAATTGAATCGTGCCTTTACACAGTGTTTCCGAGAGAAAATTGCCTAACAATATAATTAGTTAATTCCAGGCAAGGTATTTGCCATTAGTAGTGTGTGCCCTACCATAAATGCTGGAGACAAGAGTCTGAGGTAAAAATAAATGTTTTAGTTATCCCATAAAAAATGCTTTCTTATAGAGCAAATATGGAATTTGTCTCAACTACAAATTGATTTGGCTTTTTAATACTGTAAAAGGTTTAATTATTCACTTTAATTTTGCTTATTTCGCTGACTGGAAAATGCGATAAATTAAAACCAGGTGAATATGTAAAATTTAGCATAGAACACATTATCTAAATGATAAAACTTTGAATTTAAAAACCACTGAATATGCCTGCAATGGTAAATCAGTGAAATTTAAACCCAGTGAAAATTAGGCATTTTACAGTACCTGGTAGTAGACCTGTGGGTATCACTAAAAATGTGCAATCAAAATTCAAATGTAGTATAGACATAACGTAGTTTCATAAACACATTTCAAAACCACATAAAATGTAATAAACAGAGGTTCAGGTAAAATCTGAGATATATTTTAATTCTAGCAATATAAAAATAGATAGCATTGTAAATAGAGACATGTACACGAATGAATAGAAAAAGCGATACAATGACAGTATATAAATAGGTAATACACGCACAATTTAATAATTATGAGCACACGTTGCATTCAAATAAGCCCAGTAGTAGTGATATTTAGCAATGAAAATGGCCAGAATGGTTGTTACCGTAGTTTGCAATGTAAATCATCACAAAACAAATATATTCGAAGAAGGGGGAAAGAACCATTGTTACTGGTGCTGGTCATACAACAATCTATGGAGATTGTACTGTACAATCAGTTACAGAAGTGTCAAAATAATTTCTTTTTAATATCTTTTAATACAGGTCTATGGCACAATTTTTTTTTACAGCTGACCAGTGTTTTTCTGATTTTTTTTTGCAGCATTTCATTCAGTGGTAAATTGTCAATTTAAAATTTGCCTTTGAGTCTCCCACCCCAGGAATATTTTCCCCCATTTATATTGACTATCGGAGGAGGAATTTTAGCAAACAATGTGGTAATGAACTCTTTACATTCAGATCTGAAAGACAAGTTGCTCAAAGAAAAAAAGCACATCAATCAAACACCTATAACCATAGGACTCTTATAAACACAAATGTGAAAACAATCTAAACTTAAACAATCTTAGTGTGAGAAAACTGCTGAATTACATACACTTGATTAAATTAGTTAAAATATAATAAAAGTGCTCAACTAAATACAATTATTTACTTTGAAATTTATAACTAGTTATAATACTATTCTGGTGATATTATCTATATATTAATTTAATTTAAATAATTGTAATAATATGTGAACTTCCAAATTCATAAAAGTATAAAAATGAGTGAGATGTACCCGATTTAATTACCAGTTCCAATAGTATAAATACTGCATACAAGAGCCCACACAACTACTAGTAATATTTACAAAATTGTTTAGAAATATATGTGCAAAAAAAACAACATCTTTATGGTTTATCTGAAAAACTATGGTGACAACAAAATTATTAATTAACCCTTAAAACACAAATTTGTTGTTAATTCCACAATGGCTACAGGTCTTATTTCACCTTTAGTAGTAACCTTGGTGTTTAAAGGGTGAAATTATTTTATATTTATGGCAAACAATTAATAGTGTCTTGATGCTTGCAAAGAAAAAGCAAAGTATGGTAGGTACAATCTCATGAAATTCTAATGTAGGTAAAGGTGCAGAACACGGGTGTACGTTACCTCCTAACTACATCTGACTAACTACAAACCCAAGTCATATTTCAGTAGCTTTTCTCTACATGATAGGATTTGTCAACCAATTAGAGTGTGGCTTACTGGAAAGCAACCTGCAATAGGAGTTGTGATTGGTTGCTGATCTTGTAAAATCTGAATACAACTTGCATCCATCAGATCATGGAGCTAATAGTCGGATGTAGTTTGAGGTAGTGCACACCCCGAGTGGTTTACTTACATCAGATTTTTAATCAGATTGGCACTGGAATAAACAAAAAATAGCCAGAATTATCATTAATGTTAAATGCCTGGCCTAACATTGTTTAAAATTACAAAAAATTTATATCAACACTGGAGGAGATTAATGACGATAGCTTACAGTAAATTTCATTAAGGCATGAATGTGGTTTTTTTAATGGAAATTTATAAAATATTTATAAAAACCATTTACCCTGGAAGACACTAATTCAATACCAAAAAAAATACTTTTATTGTGGTAGCTATGGAAACCATTTCACTTTCTTTTAGTCATTGGTTGATTTGCTGTGATGCAATCATTAACACATTATGAGTTGTTTTCAACCATCATTTGAAATATGTAAAACATTCATAACTTTATGAAATTCACTGTATTCTGCAATTTAATTCAATATAATATTAATTTAAGGCTTTTTTGCAAAATCAATGCATAAGACGTGATTTACTGAATTACATTTTTATAAATATTTCATATTTTTATTAGAGTTCATCTTTTGGTTGCATCAATTTCAAATCTGGATTCCTTTTTGGTTTATATTTTAATAATTTGGAATACTCCAGAAGTAACTTCTTCCAGTAGCATTCCACATCTTCCATGCGAAGATGGTCCCAGATGTATTGAAAACCTCTTTCTGCTATTTCTTTAGCAACGTTATCATTTTCTTTTACGAACTCTATCAGTTCTTTCACATTGGACAAATCTTTTCTTACTGGAATGTAGTGCACCCAAGGTTTAAGAGAAGGGTAAAAAAATTCCAACCACTCGTCTCCAACATGAAATACTAAGGATTTGCACAGAAAAAGATGCTTCAGACGAAAACTAGCAGCCACTCCCCGGAAATTAAACAGGTATTTATAGGGACAGTGTTCTTCCAAAGGTAATTTCCTTTGCTGGTGGCTCTCCCAGTGTGTCTTTGTCAGATTTCCAGGCCTGGTTTTTCGTATATTGGGCATCAACCAAATCTGGTTCAGCCCTGGAAAGCAGCACCAGAGGGTCACGCTCAGCACTGGTTCGCGAGCCCCGGAAGAGTGCCTTGTTGTGCTTCTTTTCCCACGGCCACTTCTCTGCTTCCTTGAACAAGGTTTCACGGAAGAGGTCCCATCTCCCCAAGCCGGTTGGGAATATAGGCCAGACAGCTGGGCCACCTTCCCAGAATGTCCACGCAGGGTACATAATATCGTACATTTGACTGTCCACTTTACTGAACGAGAACACGGGTCTGGGGTCTACGTATTTAGGACTTTGTGGATAATCCCTGGTGTTGATGATGAATTCCATGTCAGGTAACCTGTTTATTAATTTCAATATGAAATGCTCGGCGCCACTGCATCGAGCAGGAAACATGCACTCTTTAGAACGGTACAGCTTGTGTCGAATTATTTGATAGTGTGTGCCAACATTCTGTTCCAGAGTCTTCTGAAATAATTCTTTCGTTATTCCACCCCGGTCTTTCCACACCTTCAGATCCTTGTTTAAGGTATCCTTATAACATGAGCACTCCCGTATGTCTTGTTCGCAGTCAGTGTACGCAGACACCGCCGTGTCGATGTTTTGCAGATACGGCGTCCACTTGGGATCTCTCGAGGCACCGTTGGAGTTGTTCTCGTCTTCGTCATTCGCCGCGCAGCTAACAAGAAGCACACATACGAATACTGATACCAAGAAGATAGAGGTATTCGCCATGTTGCACCAACACCCGTTTCTCTCTTGCGGTGAAACTGACTGAAATGTGACACGTGTCCACGGACGGTTGGTGGATCGGCCTCAAAACTTTCAAGACCAAGAGATCATCAACAGAAGTTCAAGCTTTCCTTGAGCAGAGGGTCATTGCTCTTTTGTCAACTACACCTTACATAACCTCACTTACAATTACTGTCAATGTTTTGTGCGGTAACAGCTCCCGGGCAGTACGAAATCAACTGAAACTCAGAGTTCCACCTTTGTTTCTGAATGTGAATGCATTTGGGCGTTTATGACTCGTTAAGGAACAGCGCCAGCAAGTGTTGAACTCTTGAACTTCCATGACGATGTGTTGAAGGAATTATGGAAGGAATATACTTGTAATGTCGAAAAGTGTCTACGTTCCCTGATCAAAACCACCAGACGTCCTCTTATTATATACACAATGCACGATGCATACGAGGCAGAACCGATCCTGGAAAAGCTCCCGTTGCAAATCGAGTCTATAGCATGCCACGGTAAGTAACCTTGATCAAAATATCCTGTCCGAGCATGATGGTCCGAGTCAGGAAACATTTCTCTCGAGTTGGAAAGCAAGGTGCTTCCGGAGATTTCTATGTACATCTTGTCAATGTAGAAGTCTTAAACTTAGCTCTATCAGTATACTGATATTTGTAAATATGTCTAGACAATTTACGCGTCTATTATTAGTATTGAATATCGTAGCTGAGATGAGTTTGGTTGTTGTGAAACCATGAGTTTGAAATCTCTGCGTTCTATTGACGTTTCTGATTTCTGCCTATTCAGAGATACGTATATTACAATCAATATATATCTCCAGTGTTTTGTATTTGATCATTTAGTTACACTTGTACACTCTGTTATTGCGTACACACATATAACAAAATTCAGGGTCTGACCCGGAGTTGATTTTTCACCTGCAGTCAAAAAAAAACATGTGAACAAAATATTATGGTGTTCACACTTGTGGATTAATTTAGCTCAGTGTGAAAGGTGTGGGCTTGGCTTTGAGCTCTGCATTAAACCCCAAGATGAGGTACTTTTGAACAAGGACTCTGGGTTCATTAAAACAATGCACTTTAACAACACAACATTACAACTTAATATGTCAGCCATATACTTAAAAATACAATTAATTTATTATCAGGTGATTTTATTCTCAATTTGTCGGAAATATATATTGAAAGGTTTATTGTTTATTACTGAAATTGAATTGTTTTATTATACTGAACAAAACGGAATAAGACCTTGAAAGCCTTGCTATTTGCGAACGTGAGAGGCAACACCACATATATTTTTTGACCAATCATAGTATTGTATATTTGTATCAAAGTTCAGAATCCCCATAAGGGTATATAAGCATTCAATGTACTTGATTCACTTGGCTCTTCAATATGTTATGTTCACCTTCAAATAAACAACTAGTTCTACACTAATAAGTACTAGTATGTGTTGTGTCTGACTGCTGGACATCTTGTTTTATAAAGAATATTATGTCCAAATATATGACTTTTTCTCACACAATTCTTTCATTTTAAGAAATAAATTCTCTTGATATGTATTGAATACTGAATTTCTTTTACTATTACATTCGTTTTATATATGTATTGCAATCTTTATTGCATCCTTAGAAATAACAATAAAGATATTATTATAAATAAGTTTTATTATTATTATCACCTACATACCATATTAGGAAATGCGAATTCCAAATATTTAACGATTACTCGCGTAAGTGTCCTCAAATAATAAAAACAAGCATGGGAGCCTCAGCGCAAAGTTTGACCAGACCTCACAAAAAGAAGTTCATTAAATCTGAAATTTGGATTTCAGCATTCCCATGATGTATCCTTCGAAGAAAAAGATGTATAATAATAAGGTTATTATGAGGATACAGCAAAATAAGACAGTAAGTGGTCGCATAGACCTCCACTGAGCGTTAGCCAATACTCCTGTTGTAATGTCTTTGTGCATATTTCGCTGTATCCCCGTAATAACCTCATATTATAAACGAGAACTGGGTTGTATGCGAGGAGGGTTAGATTCAATTGATTCCAGTCTCTTTTCACTGTGCTTCTGTGTCTCATCCTTGGGTGCCAGATGTATGCTCTGAGCCACTCGCCACAAGAGACTAGGGGTCATAGTGCTTTGTCCATCAATCATTTCAAGGTGCAAATAATGTTACAAAAATAACATGTATATATCGATGGAATCTGTCAATAACTGGTCACCAGTGTGTTGATTACTTTGCACTTCCATTATAATGATTTATTAAAAATTTAGTGTTCAGCAATTATGTGCTTGAATTTATAACTCATGATGTATGGGTGTGACCTCTGTTAGAGGGTCTATGGTGTGACTCAAACTTTGTTAAAGTTTATGTTACCAGAATTTTATTGTTGGATGCAGTGAATACCTATACATAATAATTATTTTATAAAAATTTCATTCAACACTATAATCTACTACAGAGAGCAATTTTATGGTTGTATACCCAAAACTGAAATAATTGTTCACTCAACTAAAGTCACAAATAGCACATTAAATACGTGTAATTATAAAAGGAAGAAAAACGTGATAACGTAATATTAAGGTTGTAAAACAACGAAAAACTGAAATACAAGCTCACAAAATCAAGAATAAAAAATTAAATACATTTAGCCCCGACATTAGAAGGCATTATTTAGTAGCTGGTCGCTAGGCAGACATGTTTCAACAATTATAACTCCATATTTTTCAAAATTGTTAGGCCTAGTTTGAGATTCATTGACCTTGGACGTTTTTTGTGTTTATCTTGAAATTGATTTCTACGTAGTTCTACAGATTCAGTACGCAATTTCTAACAAACGAAAGGTCAGATCGTCGCCATTTTTGGTTAACTTTACCGCTATATAGAGTACTGGAGGAATGTTCCTGGATTTATTTCTGTCTGCCTTCGTTTTGATTTTTTGCTTATTTTTATATAGAGACATGTTGTTTTTACTCAGGTATTATCGCCCAAGCATTTGAAATAAGGCTACATAAAAACAAATTATAATTGCAAAAAAACGAAGAACATTGTACATGAAGCACCCCTCTATAATATTTACATAAAAAAATATATTCAGTCGTGCTGCAAATTAATTATTAATTGCGTCATTAACCGTTTTACTCCATTTTCGCGTATTCTTGTGATCACGTGGCTTGGTATTTGCATAATTTAAAAA